TCACAAAACTGTGAAAGAATCCAAAAGTCTAGATTTCATTTTATTAGATTAAACTAGACACAAGTGTATAGCTAAAAGAAAAAGAGAAAGAATAAACAGCAACAAACCTAGGAGCAGGAGTGAAGAGAATGAGATGAAGAGCAAGATAGATGAAATGATAACAATGAGAATAATATAGAGTTGATGAACTCTTTCCTTCATGAGATGATAGTGTGCAAGGTTGCAGTCACATTAGCTCCCTGATCATTGTATCGGTCTCTACTCAGCAAATATCTCTTACTCTGACTGGTTTGTCTTTAGGAATGATCCTTTCCTCCTTTAGCCAATACGATCGAGTAGCGTGCTGGATTTCACTATGTAAAAGAGAAATCAGCTTGCGCTTCCTCAGTGTCGTAGCTCAATCTGATCACTTCTTGCAGTTAGACTTACCGTTGCCTTTTCCTGCTGGATGGGCTTCGGTTATTCTTCTGTTTTCTTTCCTGTCGCTAGCAACTAGGAGAAGATATAGAATCCTATTGTAAGTTTTTCTATTCCTTTTTAGACCTCCAGAGTTAGTTTAGTTAAGCTTACCTGGTTGGTTACTTTCTATTCCTTTCTGTTCGGTCCTCTGTTTTTTCTTCCTCCTGTTCGCTGTGATCGTTGCTGTAATCAATAGGATTGAATTTCAGTTTACGACACAGGACAGTGGGTGCTTCAATCATGTATGCATATGCTTACAGATATCCGCAGCTAAGTCTTGTGACAGCTTCCTAGCCACTTTGTGGTTTGTAGCCATGTCACCGATGCCTATAATCTTACAGCCTGACATGCTTTTAGTCGTTAGATTTAAAGCAGCCTCTGAGATTTGGATCACCCCAAGCACTGCCAATGATCTCTTGATGGGTGCTCTTCCGAGAGACTTTGTAAGGAAATCCGATCCATTTGCGGTTGTTTTTACGTAGTGAATTTTTATAAGACCCATTTCGATCAGTTCTCTGACAAAGTGTAGTCTGATATCCATGTGCTTTGTTCTGAAGCTGTTTTGAGAGGTTTCACTGTTGGCGAGGTCTATTGCTCCACGGTTGTCTACATATACTGAGATGTGCTTCAGGTTGATGAAGATTCCCGTCTCCGTGGCTAGATTTGCAAACCACGCTAGATCCCTTCCCAAGTCTGAGAGTGCTTTATACTTGGCTTCTGTGGTTGAGAGCGACACTGTGGCTTGCTTGGTTGACTTCCAGTTGATGAGGTGTTTGCCTACTAGAACGACAAAGCCTGTGGTGGATCTTCGAGTATCAGGACAATTTCCCCAGTCGGAATCAACATAGGCTTGAGGTACAGGATTTGCTTCCCTCACAATCGTTAAGCCCACTTTTTTCGTTCCCATTAGGTAGCGAAAGACTTGCACGGCTGCATAGTAGTGTTTGATTCCCGGCTTCTCCAAGTACTGAGACAGTGTACTGACCGCAAATGAGATATCAGGGCGAGTTAAGATGCTTAGATAGTTCAGAGACCCTACAAGTGCTCTGTAGTTGACATCCAGCCTGTTAAACTCGTTTATTTCGCTGATCGTGGCCTTCTTGAGATGTTCTCTTGGATTGAGAGGACATGACGCTGGATGCAATGAGGTGAGATCAAATTCATTCAATTTTCGGTCGATGTATTGTGTTTGATTGATCTGCAAGCCGTTCTTGAAACGTTCGATGTTCATACCAAGGAGAAAGACCGCTTCGCCTGGGTATTTGATATCAAACTCACGCTCCATCTCAGCTTTAAATACTTCTGGTTTTGCGCTGATGATTACTAGATCATCTACGTGAGCGAAGATCCAAGTAGCCGGTCGTCCAGCGTTTTCTTCTCTCCAGAACACACATGGATCCGAGATAGCAATCTTGAAGTTCAGCGTCTTCAGATAGTTCGTTAACCTCTTGTACCAGACTAAAGGCGCTTGCTTCAGCCCATAGATAGCCTTTTTTAGATCCAGGACTGAGTTTGGCGGGCAGTCGAATCCAGGCGGAGGCAGCAGCGTGACCTTGTCCTCAAGTGGACACGTAAGGAACGCACTTCTTACATCCAGCTGATGTATTAACAAACCGTTGTTGATCGCGAAAGACAAAAGAAATCTCAGAGAGGATGGTTTGCCTGTCGGAGCGTATTTTGCTTCAAAGTTTAGTCCATGAGTTTGACGAAAACCTTGTGCACATATTCGAGCCTTGTATTCAATAACCTCATTTTCGGAGCCCAGCTTCTTTCGATAAGCCCAGGTCGCAGGAATGGGATCATCACTTTCCACTCGCACCCGAACTATCCAGACTTGATGCTTGTTCATGTTGTTTACTTCCTTGAGCTCGGCTTCCTTCCACAGTTGACTGTCTGGACATTTCATGGCCTCCTTGTGGTTCTTTGGTTCAATCGAAACCGTCACCGTGTAGGCCTGCTTCCTGACCCTAGGAGTATCAATTATGTTTCGCTCATCAATACCACCTATTATGATTCTCGAGTCACGGGGCTGATCCTCTTCAGTCGATGGTTGCATGTCTCCGTCGCCTGCCGCACCATTCTCCCGGCCTGATTCCTTCATCTCTTTTAACTGCGCTGCAATAGCTTTCAACTCGAGAGCCTCTTCTTCCTCCGTTACCGCCCCGTCTTCTTCTTGGTGCGTTGCATTGCTGTCATCTTCGCACTCGCTATAAGGAAGTAGCCCCTCTTCATTGAATGTGGGTAGCTTATCCATACTGAAACGATTAAAGCTCTTGCTGATCGGTGGACATTCTGGAAACGCGGCTTCATCAAATGTTGCGTGTTTCACCGTGAGAATTTGCTTATCTTCTAGTCTACATACTTTGTATGACGAGTAGTCATTTTCGTATCCTAGAAATACGCATTCCCATGAGGTCGAATCAAATTTTCCTCCTCGTTGTGGCTTGGCTTTGACTACCCAAGCGCGACACCCAAAAGGACGAAATACGCTGATGTTCGGTACAACTTTAAACATCAATTCAATCGGCGATTTCTTGCTTTTTGATAGTGACGGAAGACAGTTTGTGGTGGCCGTGCTTGTTTTCACAGCCTCCCCCCACCATTCCGGCGCAGCGTTCGCTTGCATCATAATGCATCGAGTCATGTCAATAACCGTTCGGTTTGCTCGTTTGGCTAGACCATTGTTTTGCGGAGTGTAAGGCGGCGATACATTGTGCTGTATACCTTCCTCTTTCAGCAGCTGTCCGAGTTCCTTGTTGCAGAATTCACCACCCCCGTCGGACACGATCTTCTTGATCACACATCCGGTTTGCTTTTCAAAGAAAATTTTGTAATCCTTGATGGCTTCCACCGCTTGACTTTTTTCCTTGAGGATAGTGGTGTGTATATAGCCCGTGTGTTGGTCGACTATAGTTAGAAAGTATCTCACTCCCCCATTTGTTGCAGGGCTTATCGGACCGACCAGATCGCAGTGTATGATTTCTAGGACGGCTCTTGTTGGTTTTAAATGACTATTGGCTGGGTTCCGAGTTATTTTACCTCCCATACATGCATCACATGCATTGACTTTAGTCATGTCGATTCGGAAAGGCAGTGATTCGATTGGAGCTCGCATGTCCTAGACGGTTGTGCCACTTGACTAGGTCCGTCAGCGGGTTATTGACCTCCGTTAGTAATCCAGTAACGGTCTTTCCTGGGGGCAACAATCCTTTCACCTCAAGCAGATCGTTATCCGTAGTTACTTCGATTGCAAGGTCTCCGTTGTAGACTACGCGATATCCTCCAACATTGGGTTCAATGACCGTGTTGCCACTCATTAGCTGCACGAATGAGATGAGATTTCTTGACAGTTTTGGAACGTAGAGCGCGTTCTTAAGCTCGACTACTCTTCCCGATTCCAGTCGTAGCCTAGCAGTCCCTCTAGCAGTAGCAATTAGCTCGCCGTAACCACTTCCGGTCGTGATACATACTTGAACTGAGGTTGTGTTCCCCTCAAAGTAATCCAACGAGTTTAACATGTGATCGCTCGCTCCGGAATCCAAGATGGTGGACAGGTTATTGCTTGCTTGTTGAGCATGGTGGTAACCGAAGCTGGGACGAATAAATTCGCTCGATCTAGTATCTGAGCTCGCTTCATTCTCTTTTGTCGTCACATGGTACGCCGACGTCTTTGCACGCTTAGCTTCCTTTTCTAAGTAGAGTTCAGGATGTAAGGTGTAGCAGTCATCTTCTTCATGCGTCGTTGCCTTGGGATTGTGCCTTCCAAACGCGCATCGTACCTTAGGTGGTTTCTTTTTTCGCTTCTTTTCTTCAAAGGCCTTCCCTCCTGCGCTGGTCACTAGTGCTGTTGAGCTTCCTGCGCTGTGGTGATTTTCAACCGATTTTCCTTTCGATGTTTTTTCAAATCTTCCAATTTGTCGAAGCTTTGAGATAACTGATCGCGGGTGACCGAGGGAATTAAGATCGCTAAACATGTTCTGCATGAGCATTGGCCGTTTCTTAGTTATTCTGCCGATTATGCTCCAACAGATTATGTAGTCGGGTATTTTCAGACCCATCGAACTGAATTGAGCAAGACATTCTTCGATTCGCGCTAGATATTTGCCTAGGTCGTCTTCATATTGTGTGTCTTCCCATTTGGACCAGATTTCGTATCCTGACAGAATTGAGTCCGAGGCATACGTCGCTTTAAACTGTAGCCAAAGACCATAAGGATCGCCTTGCAATTCTTGGAGCATTAGTGGAAGTGCAACGGGAACGGAGGCGTGTCCATGGAGGACGCCGTCCCGCAGCCCGGACCTCACCCACTGTCCTGCCCTGGTGGCTGCGCACTCAGCTTCCCAGCCGCGCAGCAGGACGGAGAACTCCAGGAGGTCCGTGCGTAGAGGGGAAGAGCCGCAACCTAACACGGTTTCCCTTCCAACCCCCCGTCAGTTCCTCCTCCTCCCTCACCCTGGAACCGACTACCTTACCCTTTCACCTGCACCAACCCCTAATCTCGGATCCCCTCATCCCTGTTTCTTTTTCGACGTCCTTCTCTCCTTCCAATTCTCCTTCCAATTTCCAATTCGATACCCGATTTCTACCACTAGCAAATCGCATTCCCATCTGCCTCCCCCCTTTCCATCCTTACGATGTCAAACCCAAATTCCATCCAGTCCCTCAGCGATCGAGTGAAAGACTCATCTCAACAAACGAACCAGTCTCCATTACCCGGTCAACAGCCTAGCCAAATCCCTATCCCCAACTCCGCTACCCCCAAGTCCATACCCCAGCCGTTAGGCAAAGAGAATAGGCCGACGGGCAATCTCAACCCCGCACCCAAAGGGAACGAAACTACGTCTACCAAGACGGCAGAGCCGGATCCAGCCCTTCAGAGCTCGGTAACCAGGTCAACGCTAAAAAACCCTATAGGTAAGCGAAACAAACAACCCAAGACAAGATTAGGAAAGCCCAGCGCTGACACCAAAAAAAAAAAAAAAAAAAAAAAGCAGAGATCACAGAGGAAAGCAACGAGTCCCCATCTCAATCCAGATCAACGAACGCTAGAGCGAAAGAGATACTCCTAGCCAAAGCCGTGAAGGCCCAAGAGGATGGCGACGACGCCAAGGCAGATCGATTCTTCGCGATGTTCGACACTCTATCGAAGGAGTCCCCCCAACCTACGAACGAGAAGAAGACCCCTTCTACAACCCATACCTCCTCAGACCCCCCTCCCACCAATAAGAAAAGACCGATCGAGTCGGAAGGCACAACACAAGTCCGCGGCATCAAGTTCATCTGGGCGAACACTAACTCGCACGATGATGGAGGATTCACACCCTATTTCCACAAGAATTTGCTCGAGCTAAAAGGACCGATCCCCCTAACGATTTTCAACAAGACTTGGCAAGAAGAAGCCTTATCTCACCACTCAAAAAACAGACCCAAATCTGAAGAGTCCTCGGCCGAAAAGAACCTCCGCTACCACGGCCTAGCCGTCCCAGACGAATGGCTCCAATCTTTTTCCGATTGGACGCTCAATCATCAATGCTTTTACGAGACGATCCGCGATAGATACAACTACCCGGTCCTCGCTGAATGGATCCTCCTGCACAAGGCCAACTGCGATCGGCTGCAGAAAAAACATGGTTTCATGGTAGCTCTGCGCTATGACATTAGGATCAGAAACAACGCCTTCGCTTTCCGCGTTGAGAAGGACGGGGAAGAATCATTCTCGAATATATCCCTCTTCAAACCAGAGACGGCGGACGACGCTCACTCCGAATCCAGGAACTTCAATGAACTCGGAGTAAGAGATAACCCATACGCACTAGGCGGTCCCCGATACGGATGGGACCCACACACAGGCCAAAAGCAAACGAAATCTGCAACATCGACCACGCCAAACAACAACACCGGCAGCGGTAAAGCCCCCCTCGCCGGGCCCTCCCAGCTGCTGTCCCAAACCCCCACAAACTCCCTCCCCCCAAGACCGGATCAAAATAGACCGCCTAGAACCTCAGGATACAAAGGCAGGAATTACAACCCCAACCATGGATCAGCTACCAGACGACGCGGCAACGAGTAGGTTCCCTCTACCCTCCTCATTCCCCCTCCCCTTCCCTTTCCCCTCGCTTCTAGACCACCCCCCCTTTTTCCTTCCCTCACTTTTCATTCCTCCCCCTCTTCCTCAATCTTCACACCCCGCACACCCATCGGCGATCCCCAAGACATGTCCATATACCCT